GTTATCATTAATGGAAATAATAAAATATTTATTCTCCTCGCATGTGCCATTATTACGAATTTTAAGAACTTGACCAATAAAACTTCCTTAATGTCATCATCTTCCATTTCGTTTTTATGGTCTAAAGGCATTCATAATTATTTTATTCATCTTATGGATACTATACACTTTATGATGTGTATCAGATAATATATTCAAGATGTATTTCAGGTATAGAAAGTTAGAGTGCTCCCAAGCTTTAATACCTATGAATAGGGAAACAACATTTACCTCATCCTCTCTAATAATAGAAGGATCATCCGATATTTGGCCTAATTAACCAAATAAAATAACATCTTATGTTATCATATCTTAAAATTGTATCCATAGAATTTTAAAAGTTTCTCATTATTGCTCATGACTACCGACAATCATGATTTCATTTAGCATACGAAATTAGAATTAATAATAATTCCAACAATAAACTGAAAGTAAATTATAGTTTATTCTCCCAACAAAATTTAGTTACAAACTAAATGAGTAACAAACTTGTTACTTTCAAATGATTTCTATTATAAATAGTAATCAAATGATTTTGTTAGACAACAGAATTAAAACCTCAATTGATTTCCAACATGAAATCAAAGATTATAATACATAGAAAAGTAATTTACGTTTATTTTCGATTTTGTCTACTCTAAGATTTTTGCAAATCCGTTAAAACGGCATGATAAATCTTGATCATAGGGAAATATTAAAATTTCATCTACCTGATTAAAGAAAGGTAGAAGAAAGAGTTTCGAATCGCCTTAGATCATAGGGAAATATTAAAATTTCATCTACCTGATTGACTTCATCATTCTCAATAAAAAAACTTGAACTATCAAAACTCAATGTGTACCCCCACAAAACACACAACCACAAAGACCTTGCCAAGATTTTAAAATTTAATTATTTGAATTCTTACACAGAAATTGGTGGAACAATATCCCACATAAAAAAATTAAACACAAACTCTTTACACAAAAGATTTTAGAATTCATAACTCATAATGGAAGAAAATTTATCGTTTGCGCAAATTCCTCTTGATTTTGGTTCAATATTTGTCTTAAGATTATTGGACAAAAGTGTTAAGTCTGAGAATAATATAGAGAATAAAATAGTGATAAATAATATTTAAATATTATTATGAAAAATTAATGATAAAGAACGAGTTTATCATGTCTTAGGATTGTTAAAAATTATAACAATTCGAGACCATAATCACACATGAGAATATAAAACAAACAAGATTAAACTTCTTTAAAAAAATAATATAAAATAAATAGAACAAAAAAAATACTCTTTTCTTGATTGGTCTTTTGAGCGGAAATAGTTGAGGCATGTCGCTACACAGTTTTATTGGGACAGATTTTTGGCCACTCCTTTGGTGCTCGAATTTGTTGGTCATCTATCTCCTAGGATACAACAACTAGATGATCAGCTACAGTATAACAACAGTAGATATCACGAACTATCTTTACCTTCGATTGTCATCGAAAAACTAAGGAGAGGAAATATTTTTTAAGAAAGTAAAAGTTTTTAAATTCTGAGATATAGAAAACTTGTTCTGAAATTGTGTTTAACCTAGCAGGTTAACTCAGTATTTATAGGAGATTTTCAAGAGAAATTCACTTCAACTAGATATCTTTTAATATTCAAAATTAAACAGATAATAATATCTTTTAATTTGAAATATTCAAAAGATAAAGTGACCTTTTACTATTTAAACTTAAATAGATATTATTTTAAATTAAAATATTCAAAAGGATATAATTATCTTTAATATTCAAAGTTAAATAGGTAATAAATATCTTTTATTTTGACATATTCAAAGAATAATTATTCAACTAATATTCAAATTAAAATTATCTTTTAATTTATAATATTCAAAAACACATAAATTTAATTTAAATATTAAATTCATCAATAAAATTCACTTTTTTCTGACAATTTGTACTTCATTATATACTCGTTGGGGGATTAGGACCACGACAACACAGATAAATTGTACGTCGACCTTGACAACGATTTATTTGATTTAACTGCAAAGGAAATCATACATCAAGTTGTTGGATATTAACAAGTCTTCATCAGGGATTTAATAGTAGCTCAAAGCAATGTTTTAATAGTTAATTTGATTGTTTTGTTATTGATATTCGTCGTGATATTTTAGGCCATCCCATATGTGAGAGAGAGAGAGGAGGGGGGTGGAGTGGGGACAGAAATGGGGAAGGGAGAGATACCTTTTGCCGGTTATGATTGGAATAGACACCCTTGTCCTAATGTCTTTGGAAAGTTCACTTTTTTCTGTCACAATTGTGGGATTCTTCACTTTCCTACTCCCGGTCCCAAACTGCCAAAGCTAATGGCAAAGCTGGTTTTGTGTGTTGTTTATCTGTATTGTCCTTTTCTTCTCATGTCAAAGGTAATGGCAAAGCTGGTTTAGTGTGCAGAATGTTGGCGACAAGTAAATTTGATCATCGCTGCCTCCATGCATGACTCAAGAGCCAAGACTCTGATAAATTATCATTATCAAATAATTTCAGCCCCCAGAAAAGTACTGGCATTGATTGTAAAGATGCATGAACAATTTTGTAGGAACCAAGAAAAAAATATTCTTTTGAAATTGTTCGGTATGTTAATCTATGTTACTCAAATTTGGATATGAGTCTGTTTATCTTTTTTCTATATATGGACAACATAATATAACAGTACAGATTGAGTTATAATCTTGTTTCTACATGAAACAAACAACAATGGTAGCAGAGTCCTTAGAAGCTGGTTCCTGAATTTTCCAAGCTTCCTTTGAAATCATAAATATTTTGTTTTCGTTTCTAATTTGTCTTCTTTGATCACTTAGAGTTGAATATTATAGTAAATGATTCCTTGAGAACTGCTAATTTCCTGCAAGTATACTTGATTTTACTTTGGCTCTTCACATTGATCTACATGGTCCTAAGGGATCTTGGCCTTGTTTAATGATTCAGAAGAAAATAAATTGAAATAAACCTTGGCTTTTATTGAGGCAATATAAAACTTGATTCAAAAACTCTGGAGAGACTTGGGTAATCTAACCCTCATCTTGTGCTTATAAACTAACATTTTTTTCGAGAAAAATCTCAGTATTCAATTAAGCATGGAACTCTGTGGCAGTTAGATAAGGGGATGCCATTTTTTGAAATCCTCAATTAAAGAATATCATTAATACAGCTTGATTGTTTCATTGATCTATATGAAGTATGTCTGTCAGTTTCATTTGGAAAAAAACAAAAGGTTCTCTTCACTTTAAAAACCAAATAATATAATATACTATGTTTCCTTGGTAATGCCATATCTTTGTCATTGAGAAGCTACTCAATGATCTGACTTATATAAAAATCTAGATGATGAAGTTTCATTTGTATATGGTTTGCAAGAACTGCAAAACTTTCAACCCTTTGCTGATGGAGCTTAAAATATCAGAGATTTAGATAGTTCCAAAAACTCAATCCTGGCTCTCTCTCTCTCTCTCTCTCATTGACCCCAACAGAAAAATCACTTAGAAAAAGCTAATATATGAACAGGGAAACAATATTGACGAATTGATGATGATACTAAATGCCTATATTATGTTATGTTAATCAGTTTCATAATCACATACACATTAATGCTTATCAAAGGGTATTATCTCAAATCCTCAAGGTTTAATCATATTAAAGCATCTTTTCTCTTTAGGCTACATTTCTTTATAGACTATGCTTTTGGATTTTTCTGCAGTCTTAATATAAAAGGTTGGATAACTGTTCTTGTTGCAGTGATAAACTAAACTTTTTATAATTTGTCTTCTGCAATCTAAATATAAAAGCCACCTTACAATTACACAGACAACCCTATATTTTAAAATCATTTTGTTGCAAGTGTGTGGATTCTATGACAAACATTAGTCTCTTTGATACTGAAAGACAATCTGGGTATCTGGCTATGCGCCTATTTTCTCCCCAAAAAAAAATATTTAGGCAAAGAGAAACCACAAACCTCATTTCCTTTGAAGCACTCGATGTCTCCTTTAAGCTTCCATTTTTCATCCTTTTGAGGAGAGAGTTTGCTTTTGTTTTTAACGTTACTATTCCTAACAACTTATATTTGGACATAAACACGTTATTGATTAGTGTTCAAAATCCTTTATATTTGGAAGGACTTGCCTCAGATTTTTTCTAGCTTGACTAGTTTAATCAAATCAAAGAAAAAAGGAACAGCTATTGTTTAAGGATAATTGGATGTTAAATGGGTTGCATGTTTGATGATATTAATCAAACACAAGTTTGCCTCCAGGTAGCATAAATTTTTTGCCACTTGCTAGAAAATATTATTGCAGATTAGTTGAAAACCAACTTAGTTACCAGCTTTTTCCCAAGTGGATTAGGCTGTCTATGACACTTTAGTTTAAAAAATTTAACAATTAATCAAACTAACCCATCATTCCACTTAATAAGCTAGCTTCTTAACACAGTAAATGATAAATTTATTAATTGAGTTGAGTTGCTTGATTTACCAATTATTATTAGTATTTGTTTGCCAAAGGCAAAATTTTATCCCACTGAAATAGAAATAAGCAAAATGCATAAATAATGGAAAAGGTCTAATCCCACAAAACAAAATGCAAATTATTAGCTAAAATAATCAGTTAATTTGGGATTGAATGGTTAGTATCTTACCACATACAATGCATAGTAGCAGTATTACTATATGAGACAGGCCATCAGGGATGGTCACCAACTCCCACTTGCTTTCCACCAAGAGAATGACAATATGGAAACTGAGGTATAAATTAATAAATGCTTGTTTAGACTAAAATTTCTTTGTGCTAAACACTTAAGCAGTCATAGCCACTATTTAATTTCCTGTCTCGTGTCTACTTTTGACCTCTGCTTGAGGTCATTTGACACCAACGAAATTTCTAGTTTCAAAAAGAAAGATTGTGTTTATGCTTACTTTCTTCTTCCCTTAATGCTCCACACGTTGGTTTTACTTCTTTTTACAGTTAAAAAGTGAGAGAATTTCCTCATTGCAAAAGTTAAAAGGATTTATAAAGTGAGTGAAGTTAAGTACCTTGGAAAAAGGGGGAAAGAAACAATGCTCAAAAGCTAAAAAGGTATCGTCTTTCCTAAGCCGTATAAGTGGGTTTTTAATGCAAAGCAATTTCAGTCCTCTACTAAGTTTGAGGATGTTTTAAGCAGTAAAATGATCAGGTTTTGTGAGTAGTTCCTGGAAGTCCCTGTACTCCTGAAAATGCAGCAAGACAATTTTAGTCTTGGAGTATAAATAATCACGGGTCTCTGCCTACTCACATGTGCTCTCTCCTTCTCTCTTCACAATTGTTTACCTTCTTCATTTCCTCAGAAATCTTTTCTGGTCTTCCTTGTTTACTCTTTTAGAGCCTAACAGGTAAAGTCGTCTACTTAGTTCCATTTTCCGTTGACCTTGTGTCAAAGAAACGTTTTTGGTTTTTCTGTGAAGTTATGAACAATTTTTCTCTTATACTATTTTTCTCAGTGATGGGATTTCAAGGCAGCGGAGAAAGTAACATGCTGGGATTGAGAGTGACACCATTAAGGCACAAGCGGTCAAAGAGGTGACTGTTCAAAAATCTTTTGTTAGTTTGTGATCACCTTTGTTTTACTTTGATAAGAGTTTTCTCTAACTGCAAGGATTTCTGGGATGAGGTTTTGTTTTTCTTGAGAAAACTTAAAAATTTGAGAATTTTCAGAAATAGAAAACCTGAAGAGGCATTTTCCAATTCTCCTTCATTAGTTTGGCTCCATGTCCCTACTCCCTAGTTTGTCGGTCATTAATGTTTTGCTATGGTACTGGTATATATGGATGTTAATTTACTTAATATTGTTGATTGTTATTAATTTTTCTTATCATAACAGCTGCAATTAATAAGTCATTGATGAATTACTTTAAGAAAGTTAAAGTGAAAAGCCTTGGTCTTCTTGCTTGTAGAAATACATGGAAAACAAAGTTATCTTTCTTGCTACGAATTGCAATGACAACCTTCAAATCCTATCTTTTGCAAATTTTAACAATCGATTCTTGGATTTTGTCACATGACAGCTTTCCTGGAAATAAAAGAGTAGAGGAAGATGGCATGGATAATTCTCTTGAAGCATCAAATCGTATAATGCTGGTAAATTATTCCCTTTTTCCTTTTAAAAAATAATTTGTAAGCTACTCCTTGGTTGGTTTGAGACTTGAGAGCATAAAAGCATGATAAGTTGATCATCTTACTGCTTCTTTGACTAATATCTTATTTCAAGGATCTCTTTTTCCCTCCCTTTCCCATGTTCATTTCAGTTTCTTTTTCTCTTTGGCTCCTCGTTGCTGCATGCATATGATAGTATGAGGTGGTGATTCGAAGAAGGAATCATATAATCAAATTCTTTGTTTTAAATTGGTCTTTTAGCTTTGAATTAAAATGGAGCTGAATATTTCTTACTATGGACTAATAGTCATCATTAATATGCTCCTATAGAATTTTTTATGATTTGCGAAGGGTCTGATTTATATATTTGGTTACCAGGATATGGGGCACTTGAAGGACTCTGTCAAAACCCTGAAAAAGCAATCTCCCACTCCCAGTATTGAGGTCCAAAACTCTTTGAAGCAAGAGGTGTGGAACTGAACCTGCTTTTTTTTTTAATTATTTTACTAATCTTTAGACATCAACGGCTGTAATTCAATTTGGGAGTAGCCTGGTCAGGTCCTTTATGACCCAAGATTAGGCCACTGCTCCCAAGTTTCAAAGTCCTATTGTTCATATGATTTTTTTCTCTCTTTCTAAAAAACACTTGTGCAGATTTTACAGCTTGAGAGAAGATTACAAGATCAATTTGAGGTTCGCCGTGCATTGGAAACAGCATTGGGTTATAGAACTTCCCATGAAGATAGAAATGAAACATCATTATCCACAACTAAGGCAGTTCCTCTAAACTCTTATTTTCCTGGCAGGAAGTCATTGTTTAAGACTTTCTGTTGCTTTTTGAATTTTCATTTATGCCAACTTTTACCTTAGAATTTAGTTTCCTACTCTACTTTTAGCCCTTCCATTATATGTTCTTCAAGACTGCCCCTTGACAGTTGACACTGCTTTTCTACAGCCAGCTACCGAGTTAATCAAGGAAATTGCTGTGTTAGAATTGGAAGTTGTATATTTGGAACAATACCTTCTCTCATTGTATAGGAAATCCTTTGATCAACAAGTGTCTTCTATATCGCCATCTAAAAGGGATGAAAGGATAAAAACACCAGTAGATTGCCCGAGAGTGAGATTTTTGAAAGTTCCCAAACCTGATGATGCATCAAAAGTTGAAAATTCGGCTCTACAGTCTTGTTACCATGACAATTCATGCAAGGAGCCTAGTGCCTTTGAAGAAGAAAAACTATTAGATTCTGATGTTAATCGATCTCATTCCTCACTATGTCAGCATTCAGTATATTCAAGTAGAAGTTCACCTCCAGAAGAGAATTTGACTAAAGCTATTCGGACCTGCCGTTCACAACCTTTGTCCAGGATGGAGGTAACTTACTTTTAGCATGTAATCTTCTTAGAAAATTTGTATTTCGTTGTACTTTACATTTTTGGTTGGTTGCCTGTTATTTTACATCACAATAAACCATTACAGTCGTTTATTATTTCTTGAAAACTGATTGGCAATAGCTTATGTAGTTTACTTTTAGTTGGCTTTTGAGATAAATAATAGCAAATTAGTTCAATCATCATCATCATCCCATGATTGAATCAAGAAGAGGAACAAGTTCAATTTATGGGAGAAAGATCTCCTTATGATAGGTATTACAATTTAAGGATTTTTGCCTTGTGGTTGTAACTTTTGCTTGGTTCTCTACAGTATGCTCAGAACGCATCGGGTATAATCAGTCTGGCTGAACATCTTGGCACTCGCATATCTGACCATGTTCCAGATACCCCAAACAAGCTTTCTGAGGATATGATCAAGTGCATGGCTGCTATATATTGCAAGCTTGCAGAGCCACCGATCCAAAATGGATTATCATCTCCGAATACATCCACGTCACCGGCCAGTGCCTTTTCCCCACCGATGCAGCACGACATGTGGAGTCCGGAGTTCAGAAATAATTCATCTTTTGATGTACGGTTAGATAACCCTTTTCATGTGGAAGGACTTAAAGAGTTCAGTGGACCATATAGCAATATGGTTGAAGTGCCATGGATTTTCAGAGATAGTCAGAAACTAGGTGATGCTGAACACTTGTTACAAAATTTCAGGTGCGTCTTTCTGATATGCAAATGTCACAAGAAAAACACCCTCTCGCAGTTTTGGACGCATTCATCGAATTGTTTTGTTATAGGTCACTTATCCGTCGATTGGAAGAGATTGATCCTAGGAAGTTGAAACATGAAGAGAAGTTGGCATTTTGGATAAACACACACAATTCATTAGTGATGCACGTGAGTGTTCTCATGTATGAAAAGAATCTAATAGAGTAGTGTTGGCACCAATTTTAATGAAATAGATTGTATTGAGTCTTTCTTTTCCTCTGCAATAGGCTTTTCTGGCTTATGGTATCCCACAAAATAATGTGAAGAGACTCTTTCTGCTGTTGAGGGTAAGAATAAGTGAATAACTTGTCTCATTGTTGCATCTCTAGAACGACGAAACTAGCCCGGTACGTGTTATCTTATACACTTTACTGTTCAGGCTGCATATAACATCGGAGGTCACACCATTAGTGCAGATACAATACAGAGTTCTATCCTTGGATGCCGTGTTTCTCGTCCCAGGCAGGTAAAGCTCAGGCCTCGTCTTCCCTAATCCTATCCTCGATTTTGATTCTTTATAATTTCTTAAAATTGTTAAAGATCTTTTAGAAACAGATTTCTAGTTCAAAATGACCATGGAGACTGATTTAACTCATGTTTTAAGATGGTGCTGATGAAACTTTCCTGCTTTTAGTGGCTTCGGTTAATACTCTCCTCGAGGACAAAGTTTAAAACTGGAGATGAGAGGCAGGCATATGCAATTGAACATCCACAGCCACTTTTACACTTTGCCCTCAGCTCGGGAAACCATTCCGATCCGGCGGTACCATCTCATCTTTCATCTATGTTTAATTCTCCCTTACTAGTATAGGATGCCTATGAACCAGTTGAAAGATGTTAATTTTGAAGTTTGCTGTAGATCCGTGCCTACACACCAAAGAGAGTATTACAAGAGCTGGAAACTGCAAAAGAAGAGTACATCCGTGCTACGTTTGGTGTCCGCAAAGACCAGAAAATTCTGTTACCAAAGATTGTAGAGTCATTTGTGAAGGATTCAAGTTTGTGTCCAGCCAGTGTCATCGAAATGATCCAACACTATTTACCCAAATCCCTTCGTCGGAGCATTAGAAAATATCAGGCAGGAAAACCAAACAAGAACATAGCATGGATTCCTCACAATTTTACCTTTCGGTATCTAATATCTAAAGAATTACTAAGATGATTGCATGTATGTATGCTGTTCGGGCATGATAAGTTTTGCAAGTATTTCCATTTTGGTAGATTTTAGAATTTTCCTTGTACAGAGTAGGAATGAAAAGGGAAAATGTTAGGATATAACAATGAAGCATCTTTTGTAATGCAATTGTTATCATCCTTTGTCATGCAATAGGAAGATCCACTGATTTATGTAATGTGCATTGAGATTTGTATATAACTGTGGGCTGATATACTTTTATTAGTGAAAGGAACACACGCACAACTTGGGAATTACCCAGAAATTCTCATCGTGTAACAAGCTATACACACACGTATAGTCATTTTATAAGAGTTCAACAGTAACTAGTCCGAAATGATTAATTAAGCCTTTTTTTTAAAAAGACATTTTTCAAGTAAATTTTTATAGTTGAGCTAACAAAATTTCGACACTTAAATACACAAGCTAAACTGTATGAATGTACGAGTGTTAACTTTCTAGAGTGTAGAAATTAAATTTGATCATTCTTGTCGATATTCAAAATTTCAACACCAACCAAGCAGCATCGGTGATAAAAAAATTGTTGTTATTTTTTAAAATTTCAAGTCCGAATACCATGAATATCAAGGATTGAACATATATTATTTTGTATTTATTCTAAATTAATAAAAAAAAAAGTGCGGAAAGGGACAATATCACTAAGAAATTAAAAGTCATACATGATCGGCGGAAAAAGGCACTCACCGGCTTTTTTTTGTTGTTATGTGCGCCACACATGAGGTTCACACTTCAACAAATGCTATGCCAAGCTCATTTGCTTCTCAATTATTATTCTTGTAGTATAAATCATATCAAATTGTTCATACATATAATAAACCTTTTTACATAGAACAGTAAGGGTATTTTATAAGAGAACAATAGAAACAGACAATCTAGATTGCCGATGATGACCCTTGCCTACTTTTCAGCAACAATTGTTTCAAATTATTGTGTTCATTTTCTCCAATATAAGCCCACTTCTATCTGTCATCTTTTCATTTGGTCTGTTTCATTCCTCTTTTAAAAGAAGGGTATTTTTATAATCATTATTTGACTATGGAATTATTTATTAAACTATACATAGAAAGAACGAATGGAATATACTGAAACAGTTGATGCAAGAAAGAGTTTGAGACACAGCTAGCTGGATACAACCTCAGCAACCAAATTCAAGGTTGTTGAAGCCATGAATAACAATAACACAGTCAATTAACAAAAGGAAACTGGTTAGGAGGGAGATGTTTAAAATAATTTAGATAATTGACCGGAGCTCTGCTAACCTGTCCAATAGAAGCAGCTGCCTTTAATCCAAATTTGAAAAGGGTTCTCGCATATTCAACTTTTTTACTTTACATTTTTTCAGGGTTGGCATCTTCTCTTGCTTACCTTTCTCCCAAATAAGTACATAAAGGTAACAACAAAAATAATGGAGAGCAGCAAAAGTGCCTGCTGTTTTAGACATCGATGTAAGATACAGTAAAATCATCACAATTCAAAGGACATAAATGTAGGTGAGATAAATAAAAGATAAGATTTCCCTTTGAACCCTAATAATACAAGAACTAATATTTAACAAGTAACATTTAAGATGGTTGATGAAATAAAGATGATCGTGTCAGCTGCTGACGGTTTATCTCTTTTAGTTTGGACAAAAAGTCATATCGATGATCAATCAATGATCAGTTTATTGTATAAAGATATTGATCGAGGTCTGTTGCGAGAGAAACACTTTTTTGTTTAGGAGAATAGCAGTCCTTGTCCTCCTTGTATGTTATTGGGTTTATATATTGATCCATAATTGACTCTTTTTACATGTTTGTGTTAGATCTAATATCATAATTATTACATATAGATTGATAGAGTGTATAAATGTAACCCTCCGTCAATAGATTTAGTAAGGAACAAATTTCTTGAGTTTATCAAGAGATTTATCAAAAGTCCCATCAAAGATTTATGCAGTTATGATTTTTGAAGATCCTTCCGAAATTGTTAATTGCTGGTAGATAGGTGGAAAGAAGTATTTCCGGAGGTATAAAAAAAATAGTCGTATCATTTCAAAATTTCTAAATGAATGGAGCCATGCATGACGATGATGTATGACTATTATGCAGGACCACACCAACTTGCCTGTGAAATGATGGTAACGTACGTTTGTTTGAAAATAGAGGCCACTTTTTATCCCACTTGTTAAATTATATCATGCATGCCAATGTTTTTAATCTAACAAACGGTATTTTGTTTCCACAATTTGTATTGTTTACTTACAAACTTCTTTAATTTTAAAAGGTTCTTCACCATAATTTGCCATGGGATTCTTCCAAGCTGTCGTCTCCAAATGTAGAGTTGGCTTGACTTAATTAACCTTTAAATACAAATGTGGGTAATACATGTCCTCCATTTTGACCCAGAGGTTTCCACTTTCGAAGGTCCAGCTATATTTGAGCTTAAAACGAGTTAAAAGGAGAAGTTGGATTGTACATTAGAGTACAATCAACATTCCCTTCGAACTTTCAAGGTAGCATACAGAGACGGAGGGCCTTTGGGCCCAAGGGTCCGGCTCTAATTTTATGTTTTTTTTTACCCTAGTACTAGTATAATTGTATAAGCCGATAAAAGGCTTATAAATAAAGTAAAATATTAAAATATTTCATAAAAAAACCTTGAGTTAATCAACCTTTTATGGACTAAAGCTCCTCCAATATTGTTTTAATATGATTCTCCATATTATTTATATTTATTATTTTTTAATTAGAATTATTTGATCTTATATTTAATTTTAGTATTCCTTTAGTTAATCTAATAATTATTAATGTGAATGGTGATTACTAAATTTGATTTTTTTTATGTTCGTGAATTAATTTTATATAAATGCAACTTGCCATGGGAAAAAATCCAACAATTATTGAGATTTTTAAGAGAAAAAGCGGGGAAACTTCGAAAAATACAAGTACAACAATTGAAACTTCAACCGATATACCTATTGACGTTTCACCTTCGAAAGAAGACCTTTAAAGATAGCTAGAAATCAGAAACCAATTACCAACTTTAATTACTTGGACAGAGATCCTCGTAAGCGCAAGCAAATATGAGAATATCCTTTTGAACAAGAAAGAAATGCAATTCGAATAGCTTATATTGCTGAGGGTTCATATCAACCAGTATTCTCTGAATTCAAAAAATTTGGACATGTTTCTCACCCTCGTCGATTTCAAGCTTCCTGGTACAAAAACTTTCGTTCATGGTTAGAATATTCTCCTGAAAATGATGTTGCCTTATGTTTTATTTGCTTCCTTTTTAACAAACCAGATAGCCATTATCACACAAGACTTTCACTATGAATGGGTTTCAAAATCGAAAGAAAGTAAATGAAAAAAGTTGTTATTTTAAGATGCATGTAGGTTCAGAACCTAATTCACCTCATAAAATTGTTGAGCAAGAATTGGAGAATTTTTTTAACCAGTTTAGACACCTGCCACAAGTGTTGCATAAGAAAACATCTTTACAAATTGCTAATAATAGACTTAGACTTGAAACCTCTATAGATGCATTGCGTTGGCTAGCTTTACAAGGGCTACCAATGAGAGGTCGTGACAAGAGTGAATCTTCATCTAACTGAGGAAATTAGTAACCCCCTCAGACCGATAAGAGTAACCCGAACCGATCCGGGAAGTCACATTAGGGCCATCGGAGCGACCCACTGTAAAAATAACGGAAAATTTAAATTTTTTATTAAAACATGTAAACTTATAAAATCATTTGTCACTATTTAAAAATAAAACAGATTTTCAGACTCGTATATAAAACCAAATATAATTACATGCCCCCTAATTACATGTACCATACTCTGCAAGCAACGCCGGAAGAACTCCCTTACTGATGTCGATAGATATACTGGTACAATTCTTTTAACCTGAAAAGATGAGTAACATAGTGAGCTTTGGAAAGCTTAGTAATACAGAACTACCAGATGATGCTGAAGAACGTGCAGATACAGATAAACATATATTTTCTTATTGGTTCAGATATCTATAGATTTCTTTGGCTGAGCTGAGGTCCCATTGATATTTCAGGTATTAACAGATAGTATTCAGTTCTGATGGAAAATATTTGGGATGTTTAGGTTCAGAAGATCAGAATAGGTTTTCTAGTGTGTTCCCAAAAATCATGTAACTTTTCAGATCTTTTTAAAACATATATATATACCCCCATCCGTCAAGTCCAAAATGTGTAGGTTCCCCAGAACCATACACCCACCGTCAAGTCCAGTAAGGCCCTGAGCACACAGCCGAGGAGCCGGTAAGTAAGGCCCTGAGCACACAGCCGAGAAGCCTCCAGGTATACTTCCTCCAACATTACCCCCAAATAAAACATGTTCCGTCCGTAAACGGATATACCAAAAATCAAAACATAATCCAGGTCAAGTATTCGATCAGAATCCAGGTCAAGTATTCGATCAGAATCCAGGTCAAGTATCCGATCAGAATCCAGGTCAGGTATTATAATAGAAATCAAATCGGAAATAAGGTAAAATATCCAAGTGATTAGGGAACACACCCGAGTTTACAGAAATTATTCAAAAGTACTGGATAATCTTAGCAGGTAGAGAAACATGAATCTTCAGTATACCGATAAGATATCGAAATTTAGAATCACTATAGGAAGAGTTCAATAACTAACGAAATCATCAGTTATTCAGAATATGACTTGGGCTGATAAGGAAGAAATGAAGATTCGGGACATTTACAGTCTATGTCGATTGATTTCATTATCAAACAACTTCAGATGAATATCTCCCAGAATTAATGCTTATCGACTGGTCAATTCATTGTCCTTACAGGGTATTTACACTTTAATACCACAAATTCTAGTCCATATAAAATCTTTGAAATCATCGCTGAATAAATCTTCCAATGTCTTTATTTCATGTTCACGCTTCCACTATATCATGAAATACTGACGTGCTTGATTGTAGTTCAAGACCCATACGAACATTACATCATGTATATTCATTAACGTTTCTAGACTCATCCAAATCACTTACTTAATCCTTAGTCTTTGAGGTTACTTAGTTCATTTAGTATTCAAGTCTATTCCAGTTACTTCGGGATTTTCCAGAGTAATTCAAATATTACAGAATTTCATATATATGTTGTACTTCTGTTCCATTCAATTTGGTCTTCGTGGTTGATTTGTCGAACAAACGTCCAATTCTTAGTACTGAATACGATCTAGAGTTAAGCTGAGC